TGGGCGACGGCGACAACGACGTGCAGCAGTAGGTGCCATGCCCTCTTGCATGGCTGGTGCGGTGGACGACGTGCGGTGTGTTGGGTGCACGTCGACGAGCTATTCTCCGAGGAGTACTGCCGAGTGGACTTGAGGGGGACCAAGCGTGAACGCGGCAGGGGAGTGTCAACGGGAGTTGTATGTTGGCCCCGTCCACGCTTGGGCGGAGCCGACATCGTGGTCGGGTGTTAGGGGAGCAGCCGACCTGCAGCAGTGGGCGAGCTGGTCGACGAGGAGGTCGACCTGCACGGGGACCACTGCACGGGCGCCGACTTCGGGGTGGCGCCAACTTCGGGGAGGTCGACTTAAGCGTCGACCTGCGGAGGACGTCAACTTGGGAAGCCGACTTTGGTGGTCGGCTGATGTGCTGGTCGACCTGCGGGTGGTTGACTGGACCGGTGGTCGACGAAAGAGGGGTCGACGTCGAGTAGCAGGACGTCGAGCAGTCAGGACGTCGAGCACTCGGGCGTCAAGCAGTCGGGCGTCGAGTGACATGGTCGTCGACCGAGGGGCATGGTCGACCCGGTGAGGTCGACAACGAGGTGGTCGTCGACTTGGGAGGTCGACGGACACGTACGGGAGTTGCTGGTCGATGTGGTTGCCCGGTCGACCAGGTTACCTGGGTGACGAAGTGCTGCGGAGGAGTGCGACGGTCGCCCAGGCGAAGCTGGCGAGACCGACCTTGGTGGTGGTATCACGAGGTCGTCGTGGCAGATCAGAGGTAGCCGTCAGCCCGAGGCTGACGTGGTGTGTGTGTGCTGTGCAGGTGATGAGGCTCGGCATACCAATCATCTGCACGCACCTGCAAAGCGGGTGCACTGCTGGCACACCGTCGACCTGAAGCATTGGCAAGCTGTCGACTTTGCTCTGCTGGAGCGCGGTCGACCAAGTCGTGTTGGAATGCGGTCGACCATGCTGTGCTGGCAGTTGACCAACCTGAATGCTAGCTCTGATGTAGTCTTGCATTGCCAACTTCATTGTACCATTGTTGTGATCTTTTCTTAGTGAAACTCTTGCCAAATTGCCCCGTGAACTAGCAAGCAGTGTGAGCACTAGGAAAACGTCTAAGGACCAACGAACGCAAAGATCACACGAGCACACGTGCCTAGCCAGTAGTCTAGCTCCCGTTGTAGTAGTTATCTCCGCAGCAAGCTCCTGGACCAGGCAAGCTCCTCGACCAGGCAAACTCTTGGACCAGGCAAGCTCCTGGACCACCCAAGCTTCTTGACCAGGCAAACTCGTGGACCAGGCACGCTCCTGGACCAGGCAAGCTCCTGGAATAGGCAAGCCCCTAGACCAGGCAAGCTCCTGGACCAGGCAAGCTCTTGGACCACGCAAGCTCTTGGACCAGGCAAGCTCTTGGACCAGGCAAGCTAGTGGACTAGGCAAGCTTCTGGACCAAGCAAGCTCCTGGACCAGGCAAGCTCTTGGACTAGGCAAGCTCCTGGACCAGGCAAGCTTCTAGACCAGGCAAACTCGTGGACCAGGCACGCTCCTGGACGAGACAAGCTCCTGGACCAAGCAAGCTCCTGGACCAGGCAAGCTCTTGGACCAAGCAAGCTCCTGGACCAGGCAAGCTTCTGGACCAGGCAAACTCGTGGACCAGGCACGCTCCTGAACCACGCAAGTTCCTGGACTAGGCAAGCTCCTAGACCAGGCAAGCACCTGGACCAGGCAAGCTCCAGGACCACGCAAGCTCTTGGACCACGCAAGCTCTTGGACCAGGCAAGCTCCTGGACCAGGCAAGCTCATGAACCAGGCACGCTCCTAGACTAGGCAAGCTCCTGGACCAGGCAAGCTCCTGGACCAGGCAAGCTCCTAGACTAGGCAAGCTCTTGGACTAGGCACGCTCCTAGACCAGGCAAGCTCTTGGATCAGGCAGGCTTCTGGACAAAGCAAGCTCTTGGACTAGGCACACTCCTGGACCGGGCACGCTCCTGGACCAGGCAAGCTCCTAGACCAGGCAAGCTCCTGAACCAAGCAAGCTCCTAGACCAGGCACGCTCGTGGACGAGGCATGCTCCTGAACCAAGCAAGCTCCTAGACCAAGCACGCTCCTGGACCAGGCAAGCTCCTGGACAAGGCAAGCTCCGGGACCACGCATGCTCTTGTACCAGGCACGCTCCTAGACCAGGCAAGCTCTTGCACCATGCACGCTTCTGGACCAAGCAAGCTCCTGGACTAGGCAAGCTCCTGGACCAGGCACGCTCTAGGACCAGGCAAGCTCCTCGACCAGGCAAGCTCCTAAACCAGGCATGCTCCTGGATCAAGCAAGCTCCTGGACCAGGCAAGCTCCTGGACCAGGCAAGCTCATGGACCAGGCAAGCTCTTGGACCAGGCACGCTCGTGGACTAGGCACGCTCTTAGACCACGCAAGCTCTTGGACCAGGCAGGCTCGTGGACCAGGCACGCTCAGGGACCAGGCAAGCTCCTGGACAAGGCAAGCTCCTGGACCAGGAAGCTCCTGGACCAGGCACGCTCGTGGACCAGGCACGCTCCCGAACAAGGCAAGCTCCAGGACCACGCAAGCTCTTGGACCAGGCATGCTCCTGGACAAGGCAAGCTCTTGGACCAGGCAAGCTTGTGGACCAAGCAAGCTCCTGAACCAGGCAAGCTCATGGACCACGCAAGCTCCTGGACCAGGCAAGCTCTTGGACCTGGCAAGCTCTTGGACCAGGCAAGCTCCTGGACCAGGCAAGCTCCTGGACCAGGCACGCTCGTGGACGAGGCACGTTCCTGGACCAGGCAAGCTCTTGGACCAGGCAGGCTCGTGGACCAGGCAAGCTCTTGGACCAGGAAAGCTCCAGATCAGGCAAGCTCCTAGACCAGGCAAGCTCCTGGACCAGGCACGTTCCTGGACCAGGCAAGCTCCTGGACCAGGCACGTTCCTGGACCAGGCAAGTTCCTAGACCAGGCAAGCTCCTGGACCAGGCACGTTCATGGACCAGGCAAGCTCCTGGACCAGGCACGTTCCTGGACCAGGTAAGTTCCTGGACCAGGCAAGCTCCATATCAGGCAAGCTCCTAGACCAGGCAAGCTCCTGGACCAGGCATGGTCGTGGACCAGGCACGCTCTTGTCCAGGTCCACGTCCACGACCATGTCCACGTCCACGTCCACGTTCACGTCCACGTCCACGACCATGTCCACTTCCACGTGCACGTGTACGTCCACGTCCATGTCCACGTCCACGTCCACGTTCACGTCCACGTCCATGTCCACGTCTTTGCCACGTTCACGTCCACGTCCACGACCATGTCCACGTCCACGTTCACGTCCACGTCCACGTCCACGTCCACGTCCATGTCCACGTCCACGTCCACGTCCACGTCCACGTCCACGTCCACGACCATGTCCACGTCCACGTCCACGTCCACATCCACGTCCACGTCCAAGTCCTCCACGTCCACGACCACGTCCACGTCCACGTCAACCTCCACGTCCACGACCACGTCCACGTCCACGTCCTTGTCCACGTCCACGTCCTCCACGTCCACGTCCACGTCCTCCACATCCACGTCCTCCACGTCCACGTCCACGTCCACGTCCACGTCCACGTCCACGTCCACGTCTACGACCACGACCACATCCACGTCCATGTCCACGTCCACGTCCACGTCCACGTCCACGTCCACGTCCACGTCCAGGTCCACGTCCACGTCCACGTCCACGTCCACGTCCACGACCACGTCCACGACCACGACCACGTCCACGTCAAGGTCCACGACCACGACCACGTCCACGTCCACGTCCACGTCCACGTCCACGACCACGTCCACGTCCACGTCAAGGTCCACGACCACGACCACGTCCACGTCCACGTCCACGACCACGTCCACGTCCACGTCCACGACCACGTCCACGTCCACGTATCAATGTTCACGTCCACGTCCACGTCCACGTCCGCGTCCACGTCCACGTTCACGTCCGTGACCACGTCCACGTCCACGTCCACGTTCACGTCCACGTTCACGTGCACGTCCACGTGCACGTCCACGTCCACGTTCACGTTCACGTTCACGTCCACGTCCACGTCCACGTTCACGTCCACGTCCACGTCCACGTTCACGTCCACGTTCACGTTCACGTTCACGTTCACGTCCACGTCCACGTCCACGTTCACGTTCACGTCCACGTCCACGTGCACGTCCACGTCCACGTCCACGTCCACGTCCACGTCCACGTCCATGACCACGTCCACGTCCACGTCCACGTCCACGTCCACGTCCACGACCACGTCAACGTCCACGTCCACGTATCAATGTTCACGTCCACGTCCACGTCCACAACCACGTCAACGACCACGTCAACGCCCACGTCCACGTCCACGTCCACGTCCACGTCCACGTCCACGCCCACGTCAACGCCCACGTCCACGTCCACGTCCACGTCCATGTCCACGACCACGTCCACGTCCACGTCCACGTCCACGTCCATGTCCATGTCCACGTCCACGTCCACGTCAACGTCCACGTCCACGTCCATGTCCACGTCCACGACCACGTCCACGACCACGACCACGTCCACGTCAAGGTCCACGACCATGTCTACATCCACGTCCACGTCCACGACCATGTCCACGTCCACGTCCACGTCCGCGTCCACGTCCACGTATCAATGTTCACGTCCACGTCCACGTCCGCGTCCACGTCCACGTCCACGTCCACGTCCACGTTCACGTCCACGTTCACGTTCACGTCCACGTGCACGTCCACGTCCACGTTCACGTTCACGTTCACGTCCACGTGCACGTCCACGTCCACGACCACGTCCACGTCCACGTCCACGTCCACGACCACGTCCACGTCCGCGTCCACGTATCAATGTTCACGTCCACGTCCACGTCCACGTCCCCGTCCACGTTCACGTCCACGTCCACGTCCACGTCCACGTCCACGTCCACGTCCGCGTCCACGTCCGCGTCCACGTCCGCGTCCACGTCCCCGTCCACGTCCGCGTCCACGTCAGTCCACGTCCAAGTCCTCCACATCCAAGTCCTCCACGTCCACGACCACGTCCACGTCCACGTCCACGACCACGTCCACGACCACGTCCACGTCCACGACCACGTCCACGACCACGTCCACGTCCACGACCACGTCCACGACCACGTCCACGTCCACGTCCACGTCCATGTCCAAGTCCTCCACGTCCAAGTCCTCCACGTCCACGACCACGTCCATGACCACGTCCACGTCCACGTCCACGTCCACGCCCACGTCCAAGTCCTCCACGTCCAAGTCCTCCACGTCCATGACCACATCCACGACCACGTCCACGTCCACGTCCATGTCCACGTCCACGTCCACGACCACGTCCACGTCCACGTCCACGACCACGTCCACGTCCACGACCACGTCCACGACCACGTCCAGGTCCACGTCCACGTCCATATCCACGTCCATGTCCACGTCCACGTCCACGTCCACATCCATGTCCACGACCACGTCCACGTCCACGTCCACCTCCACGTCCAAGTCCACGTCCACGTCAACGTCCACGTCTACGTCCATGTCCACGTCCACGTCCACGTCCATGTCCACGACCACGTTCACGTCCACGTCCACGTCCACGTCCATGTCCACGTCAACGTCCACGTCCACGTCCACGTCCACGTCCACGACCATGTCCATGTCCATGTCCACGTCAACGTCCACGTCCACGCCCACGTCCACGTCCACGTCCACGTCCACGTCCACGACTACGTTCACATCCACGTCCACGTCCACGACCACGACAATGTCCACGTCCACGTCCACGTCCACGACAATGTCCACGTCCACGTCCACGTCCACGTCCATGTCCACGTCCACGTCCATGTCCACGTCCACGTCCATGTCCATGTCCACGTCCACGTCCACGTCCACGTCCATGTCCATGTCCATGTCCACGTCCACGTCCACGTCCAAGTCCACGTCCAAGTCCTCCTCGTCCATGTCCACGTCCACGTCCACGTCCACGTCCACGTCCTCGACCATGTCCACGTCGACGTCCACGTCCACGTCCACGTCCACGTCCATGTCCATGTCCACGTCCATGTCCACGTCCACGTCCACGTCCACGTCCATGTCCAAGTTCATGTCCACGTCCATGTCCACGTCCACGTCCACGTCCACGTCCATGTCCACGTCCACGTCCATGTCCATGTCCACGTCCACGTCCACGTCCACGTCCATGTCCATGTCCACGTCCACGTCCACGTCCAAGTCCACGTCCAAGTCCTCCACGTCCACGTCCACGTCCACGTCCACGTCCACGTCCACTTCTACGTCCACGTCCAAGTCCACGTCCACGTCCATGTCCACGTCCACGTCCACGTCCACGTCCACGTCGACGTCGACGTCCACGTCCATGTCCACGTCCATGTCCACGTCCACGTCCATGTCCACGTCCATGTCCACGTCCACGTCCACGTCCACGTCCACGTCCACGTCCATGTCCACGTCCATGTCCAAGTCCATGTCCACGTCCATGTCCACGTCCATGTCCAAGTCCATGTCCACGTCCAAGTCCACGTCCATGTCCACGTCCATGTCCACGTCCAAGTCCTCCACGTCCACGTCCACGTCCACGTCCATGTCCACATCCACGTCCATGTCCACGTCCACGTTCACATCAATCCACATCCAAATCCTCCACGTCCAAGTCCTCCACATCCACGTCCACGTCCATGTCCATGTCCACGTCCACGTCCAGGTCCACGTCCACGTCTACGTCCATGTCGAGGAGCTTGCCTCGTCCAAGAGCTTGCCTTGTCCAAGAGCTTGCGAGGTCCAGGAGCTTGCCTGGTCTAGGAGCTCGCCTGGTCCAAGAGCTTGCCTGGTCGAGGAGCGTGCCTGGTTCAGGAGCTTGCCTATTCCACGAGCGTGCCTGGTCCAGGAGCTTGCCTTGTCTAGGAGCTTTCTTGGTCCGTGAGCTTGCCTGGTCCAGGAGCTTGCGAGGTCCAGGAGCTTGCCTGGTCCAAGAGCTTGCCTGGTCCAAGAGCTTGCGTGGTCCAGGAGCTTGCCTGGTCCAAGAGCTTGCCTGGTCTAGGAGCTTGCCTGGTCCAGGAGCTTGACTGGTCTAGGATCTTGCCTGGTCCAAGAGCTTGGGTGGTCCACGAGCTTGCCTGGTCTAGGAGCTTGCCTGGTCCAGGAGCTTGCCTGGTCCAGGAGCTTGCCTGTTCGAGGAGCGTGCCTGGTCCAAGAGCTTGCCTGGTCCAAGAGCGTGCATGGTCCACGAGCGTGCCTGGTCCATGAACTTGCCTGGTCTAGGAGCTTGCCTAGTCAAGGAGCTTGCCCCGTCCAGGAGCTTGCCTGGTCCAGGAGCTTGTCTGGTCTAGGAGCTTGCCTGGTCCAGGAGCTTGTCTGGTCCAGGTTCGTGCCTGGTCCACGAGTTTGCCTGGTCCAGAAGCTTGCCTGGTCCAGGAGCTTGCCTGGTCTAAGAGCTTGCATGGTCCAGGAGCGTGCCTGGTCCAAGAGCTTGCCTGGTCCATGAGCTATCCTGGTCCAGGAGCTTGCTTGGTCAAGGAGATTGCCTGGTCCAAGAGCTTGCCTGTTCTAGGAGCGTGCCTGGTCCAAGAGCTTGCCTAGTCCAAGAGCGTGCATGGTCCACGAGCGTGCCTGGTCCAGGAGCTTGCCTGGTCCAGGAGCTTGCCTAGTCAAGGAGCTTGCCTGGTCCAGGAGCTTGCCTGGTCCAGGAGCTTGCCTGGTCCACGAGACTGCCTGGTCCAAGAGCTTGCTTTGTCCTGGAGCGTGCACGGTCCACGAGCGTGCCTGGTCCAGGAGTTTGCCTGGTCCAGAAGCTTGCGTGGTCCAATAGCTTGCTTGGTCCAGAAGCCTGCCTGGTCCAAGAGCTTGCCTGGTCTAGGAGTGTGCCTGTTCCAAGAGCTTGCATGATCCAGGAGCTTGCGTGGTCGAGGAGCTTGCCTGGTCCAGGAGCTTGCGTGGTCCTGGAGCTTGCCTGGACCAAGAGCTTGCCTGGTCCAAGAGCTTGCGTGGTCCAGGAGCTTGCCTGGTCCAGGAGCTTGCCTGGTCTAGGAGCTTGCCTGGTCCACGAGCTTGCCTCGTCCAGGAGCGTGCCAGGTCCAAGAGTTTGCCTGGTCCAGAAGCTTGCTTGGTCCAGGAGCTTGCATGCTCCAGGAGCGTGCCTGGTCCAGGAGCTTGCCTGGTCCAGGAGCTATCCTGGTCCAGGAGCTTGCCTGGTCCAGGAGCTTGCCTGGTCCAGGAGCTTGCCTGGTCTAGGAGCTTGCCTCTTCCACGAGCATTCCTGGTCCAGGAGCTTGCCTTGTCTAGGAGCTTTCTTGGTCCGTTAGCTTGCCTGGTACAGGAGCTTGCTTAGTCTAGGAGATTTCCTGGTCCAAGAGCTTGCCTGGTCCAGTAGCTTGCCTGGTCCAACAGCTTGCCTGGTCCAGAAGCTTGCGTGGTCCAATAGCTTGCTTGGTCAAGAGGTCCAAGAGCTTGCCAGGTCCACGAGTGTGCCTGGTCCAAGAGCTTGCGTGGTCCAGGAGCTTGCGTGGTCCAGGAGCTTGCCTGGTCCAAGAGCTTGCCTGGTCCAGGAGCTTTGCATGGTCCAAGAGCTTGCCTGTTCCAAGAGCTTACGTGGTCCAGGAGCTTGCCTGGTCAAGGAGCTTCCCTGGTCTAGGAGCTTGCCTGGTCCAGGAGCTTGCCTGGTCCAGGAGCGTGCCTGATCCACGAGTTTGCCTGGTCCAGAAGCTTGCCTGGTCTAGGAGCTTGCCTAGTCTAGCAGCTTGCATGGTCCAGGAGCTTGCCTGGTCCTGGAGCTTGCCTGGTCTAGGAGCTATCCTGGTCCAGGAGCTTGCCTGGTCCAGGAGTTGCCTGTTCCACGAGCGTGCCTGGTCCTGGAGCTTGCCTTGTCCAAGAGCTTTCTTGGTCCGTTAGCTTGCCTCGTCCAGGAGCTTGCCTGGTCCAGGAGCGAGCATGGTCTACGAGCGTGCTTGGTCCAGGAGCTTGCCTAGTCCAGGAGCTTGCCTGGTCAAGGAGCTTGCCTGGTTCGGGAGCTTGCCTGGTCCTGGAGCTTGCATGGTCCACGAGCCTGCCTGGTCCAAGAGCTTGCCTGGTTTAAGAGCGTGCATGGTCCACGAGTGTGCCTGGTCCAGGAGCTTGCCTGGTCCAGGAGCTTGCCTGGTCCAAAAGCTTGCTTGGTCCAGAAGCCTGCCTGGTCCAAGAGCTTGCCTGGTCAAGGAGCGTGCCTGGTCCAAGAGCTTGCGTGGTCTAGGAGCTTGCGCGGTCCATGAGCTTGCCTGGTCCACGAGCTTGCCTGATCCACGAGCTTGCCTGGTCCACGAGCTTGCCTGGTCCAGGAGCTTGCCTGGTCCAGGAGCTTGCCTGGTCCATGAGCTTGCCTGTTCCACGAGCGTGCCTGGTCTAGGAGCTTGCCTTGTCCAGGAGCTTTCTTGGTCCAAGAGCTTGCCTGGTCCAGGAGCTTGCCTGGTCCAAGAGCTTGCCTGGTCCAGGAGCTTGCCTGGTCCAGGAGCTTGCCTGGTCCAAGAGCTTGCCTGGTCGAGGAGCTTGCCCGGTCCACGAGCTTGCCTGGTCCAGGAGCGTGTCGATCCACTAGCTTGCGTGGTCCAAGAGCGTGCCTGGTCCAGGAGTGTGCCTGGTCTACGAGCGAGCCTGGTCCAGGAGCTGGCCTGGTCTAGGAGCTTGCCTGGTCAAGGAGCTTGCCTGGTCCGGGAGCTTGCCTGGTCCAGGTGCTTGCTTGGTCCACGAGCCTGCCTGGTCCAAGAGCTTGCCTGGTCCAAGAGCGTGCATGGTCCACGAGCGTGCCTGGTCCAGGAGCTTGCCTAGTCCAAAAGCTTGCTTGGTACAGAAGCCTGCCCGGTCCAAGAGCTTGCCTGGTCCAGGAGCGTGCCTGGTCCAAGAGCTTGCGTGGTCTAGGAGCTTGCGTGGTCCAGGAGCTTGCGTGGTCCACGAGCTTGCCTGGTCCAAGAGCTTGCCTTGTCCAAGAGCTTGTGTGGTCTAGGAGCTTGCCTGGTCCACGAGCTTGCCTGGTCTAGGAGCTCTCTTGGTCCAGGAGCTTGCCTGGTCCAGGAGCGTGCCTGGTCCACGAGTTTGCCTGGTCCAAAAACTTGCTTGGTCCAGGTGCTTCCCTGGTCTAGGAGCTTGCATGGTCTAGGAGCGTGCCTGGTCCAGGAGCTTGCCTGGTCCAGGAGCTATCCTGGTCCAGGAGCTTGCTTGGTCCAGGAGCTTGCCTGGTCCAGGAGCTTTCCTCTTCCACGAGCGTGCCTGGTCCAGGAGCTTGCCTTGTCGAGGAGCTTTCTTGGTCCAAGAGCTTGCCTAGTCCAGGAGCTTGCCTCGTCCAGGAGCTTGCCTGGTCCAAGAGATTGCCTGGTCTAGGAGCTTGCCTGGTCCAGGAGCTTGCCTGGTCCAGGAGCTTGCGTGGTCCAAGAGCTTGCCTCGTCGAGGAGCTTGCTTGGTCCACGAGCTTGCCTGGTCCAGGAGTGTGCCTGATCCACGAGCTTGCCTGGTCAAAGAGCGTGCCTTGTCCAAGAGCGTGCCTGGTCTATGAGCGAGACTAGTCCAGGAGCTTGCCTGGTCCTGGAGCTTGCCTGGTCAAGGAGCTTTTGTGGTCCAGGAGCTTGCCTGGTCCACGAGCCTGCCTGATCCAAGAGCTTGCCTGGTCCAGGAGCGTGCATAGTCCACGAGCGTGCCTAGTCCACGAGCTTGCCTGGTCCAGGAGCTTGCCTGGTCCACGAGCCTGCCTGGTCCAAGAGCTTGCCTGGTTCAGGAGCGTGCATGGTCCACGAGCGTGCCTGGTCTTGGAACTTGCCTGGTCTAGGACCTTGCCTGGTCCAAGAGCTCGCGTGGTCCAGGAGCGTGCCTGGTCCGAGAGCTTGCGTAGTCCAGGATCTTGCATGGTCCAAGAGCTTTCCTGGTCCAGGAGCTTGCCTGGTCCAGGAGCTTGCCTCGTCCAAGAGCTTGCCTGGTCCAAGAGCTTGCGAGGTCCAGGAGCTTGCCTGGTCCAGGAGCTTGCCTGGTCTAGGAGCTTGCCTGGTCAAGGAGCTTCCTTGGTCCAGGAGCGTGCCTGGTCCACGAGTTTGCCTGGTCCAGAAACTTGCCTGGTTCAGGAGCTTGCCTGGTCTAGGAGCTTGCATGGTCCAGGAGCGTGCCTGGTCCAGGAGCTTGCCTGGTCGAGGAGCTATCCTGGTCTAGGAGCTTGCCTGGTCCAGGAGCTTGCTTGGTCCAGGAGCTTGCCTGTTCCACGAGCGTGCCTGGTCCAAGAGCTTGCCTTGTCCAGGAGCTTTCTTGGTCCAGGAGCTTGCCTGGTCCAGGAGCTTGCCTGGTCCAAGAGCTTGCTTGGTCGAGGAGCTTGCCCGTTCCACGAGCTTGCCTGGTCCAGGAGCGTGTCGATCCACTAGCTTGCCTGGTCCAAGAGCGTGCCTGGTCCAGGAGTGTGCCTGGTCTACCAGCGAGCCTGGTCCAGGAGCTTGCCTGGTCCAGGAGCTTGCCTGGTCAAGGAGCTTGCCTGGTCCGGGAGCTTGCCTGGTCCAGGAGCGTGCCTGGTCCACGAGCCTGCCTGGTCCAAGAGCTTGCCTGGTCCAAGAGCGTGCATGGTCCACGAGCGTGCCTGGTCCAGTAGCTTGCCTGGTCCAAAAGCTTGCTTGGTCCAGAAGCCTGCTCGGTCCAAGAGCTTGCCTGGTCCAGAAGAGTGCCTGGTCCAAGAGCTTGCGTGGTCTAGGAATTTGCGTGGTCCAGGAGCTTGCCTGGTCCACGAGCTTGCCTGGTCCAAGAGCTTGCCTGGTCCAAGAGCTTGCCTGGTCCAAGAGCTTGCGTGGTCTAGGAGCTTGCCTGGTCTAGGAGCTTGCCTGGTCTAGGAGCTCTACTGGTCCAGGAGCTTGCCTGGTCCAGGAGCGTGCCTGGTCCACGAGTTTGCCTGGTCCAGAAACTTGCTTGGTCTAGGAGCTTGCCTGGTCTAGGAGCTTGCATGGTCCAGGAGTGTGCCTGGTCCAGGAGCTTGCCTGGTCCAGGAGCTATCCTGGTCCAGGAGCTTGCCTGGTCCAGGAGCTATCCTGGTCCAGGAGCTTGCCTGGTCCAGGAGCTTGCCTGGTCCAGGAGATTGCCTTGTCCAAGAGCTTGCCTGGTCTAGGAGCTTGCCTGGTCCAGGAGCTTGAATGGTCCAGGATCTTGCCTGGTCCAAGAGCTTGCCTGGTCGAGGAGCTTGCTTGGTCCACGAGCTTGCCTGGTCCAGGAGTGTGCCTGATCAACGAGCGTGCCTGGTCTACGAGCGAGCCTAGTCCAGGAGCTTGCCCGGTCTAGGAGCTTGCCTGGTCAAGGAGCTTGTGTGGTCCAGGAGCTTGCCTGGTCCACGAGCCTGCCTGGTCCAAGAGCGTGCATAGTCCACGAGCGTGCGTGGTCCAGGAGCTTGCCTGGTCCAGGAGCTTGCCTGGTCCAGGAGCTTGCCTGGTCCACGAGCCTGCCTGGTCCAAGATCTTGCCTCGTTCAGGAGCGTGCATGGTCCACGAGCGTGCCTAGTCTTGGAGCTTGCCTGGTCTAGGACCTTGCCTGGTCCAAGAGCTTGCTTGGTCCAGGAGCGTGCCTAGTCCGAGAGCTTGCGTAGTCCAGGAGCTTGCCTGGTCCAAGAGCTTGCGAGGTCCGGGAGCTTGCCTGGTCTAGGAGCTTGTGTGGTCCAGGAGCTTGCCTGGTCCACGAGCCTGCCTGGTCCAAGAGCGTGCCTGGTCCGAGAGCTTGCGTAGTCCAGGAGCTTGCATGGTCCAAGAGCTTGCCTGGTCTAGGAGCTTGCCTGGTCCAGGAGCTTGCCTCGTCCAAGAGCTTGCCTGGTCCAAGAGCTTGCGAGGTCCAGGAGCTTGCCTGGTCCAGGAGCTTGCCTGGTCTAGGAGCTTGCCTGGTCAAGGAGCTTCCTTGGTCTACGAGCGTGCCTGGTCTACGAGTTTGCCTGGTCCAGAAACTTGCCTGGTTCAGGAGCTTGCCTGGTCTAGGAGCTTGCATGGTCCAGGAGCGTGCCTGGTCTAGGAGCATGCCTGGTCGAGGAGCTATCCTGGTCGAGGAGCTTGCCTGGTCCAGGAGCTTGCCTTTTCCACGAGTGTGCCTGGTCCAGGAGCTTGCCTTGTCCAGGAGCTTTCTTGGTCCGTGGGCTTGCCTGGTCCAGAAGCTTGCCTGGTCCAGGAGCTTGCCTGGTCCAACAGCTTGCCTGGTCGAAGAGCTTGCGTGGTCCAGGAGCTTGCCTGGTCCAAGAGCTTGCCTGGCCGAGGAGCTTGCCTAGTCCAGTAGCTTGCCTCGTTCAGGAGCTTGCGTGGTCTAGGAGCTTGCCTGGTCCAGGAGCTTGCCTGGTCCAGGTTTGTGCCTTGTCCACGAGTTTGCTTGGTCCAGAAGCTTGCCTGGTCCAAGAGCTTGCCTGGTCTAAGAGCTTGCATGGTCAAGGAGCGTGCGTGGTCCAAGAGCTTGCCTGGTCCAGGACCTATCCTGGTCCTGGAGCTTGCATGTTCCAGGAGCGTGCCTGGTCCAGGAGCTTGCCTGGTCCAGGAGCTTTCCTTTGTCCAGGAGCTATCCTGGTCCAGGAGCTTGCCTGGTCCAGGAGCTTGCCTGGTCCAGGATTTTGCCTGTTCGAGGAGCGTGCCTGGTCCAAGAGCTTGCCTGGTCCAAGAGCGTGCATGGTTCACGAGCGTGCCTGGTCCATGAACTTGCCTGGTCAGGAGCTTGCCTAGTCAAGGAGCTTGCGTGGTCCAGGAGCTTGCCAGGTCCAGGAGCTTGCCTGGTTCAGGAGCTTGCCTGGTCTAGGAGCTTGCCTGGTCCAGGAGCTTGCCTGGTCCAGGTTCGTGCCTGGTCCACGAGTTTGCCTAGTCCAGAAGCTTGCCTGGTCCAGGAGCTTGCCTGGTCTAAGAGCTTGACTTATCCAGGACCTTGCGTGGTCGAGGAGCTTGCCTGGTCAAGGAGCTTGCCAGGTCCAGGAGCTTGCCTGGTCCAAGAGCTTGCCTGGTCCAAGAGCTTGCGTGGTCCAGGAGCTTGCCTTGTCGAGGAGCTTGCCTGGTCTAGGAGCTTGCCTGGTCTAGGAGCTTGCCTGGTCTAGGAGCGTGCGTGGTCCACGAGTTTGCCTGGTCCAGAAGCTTGCCTCGTCTAGGAGCTTGCCTGGTCTAGGAGCTTGCATGGTCCAGGAGTGTGCCTAGTCCAGGAGCTTGCCTAGTCCAGGAGCTATCCTGGTCAAGGAGCTTGCCTGGTCCAGGAGCTTGCCTGGTCCACGAGCGTCCACGTCCATGTCCAAGTCCACGTCCTTGTCTACGTCCACGTCCACGTCCATGTCCACGTCCACGTCCACGTCCATGTCCACGTCCACGTCCACGTCCATGTCTACGTCCACGTCCACGTCCACGTCTAAGTCCATGTCCACGTCCACGACCACGTCCACGTCTACGTCCACGTCCACGTCCACGTCTAAGTCCATGTCCACGTCCACGTCCACGTCCACGACCACGTCCACGTCTACGTCCACGTCCACGTCCACGTCTAAGTCCATGTCCACGTCCACGTCCACGTCCACGTCCACATCCACGACCATGTCTTCGTCCACGTCCACGTCCACGTACATGTCCACGTCCAAGTTCTCCACGTCCACGTCCACGTCCATGTCCATGTCCACGTCCATGTCCACGTCCATGTCCACGTCCACGTCCACGTCCATGTCCATGTCCACGTCCATGTCCACGTCCACGTCCACGTCCATGCCTATCTCCACGTCCAAGTCCTCCACGTCCATGTCCACGTCCATCTCCACGTCCACGTCCACGTCCACGTCCACGTCCACGTCCACGTCCACGTCCACGTCCACGTCCACGTCCACGTCCACGTCCACGTCCACGTCCACGTCCACGTCCACGTCCACGTCCACGTCCACGTCCGCGTCCGCGTCCGCGTCCGCGTCCGCGTCCGCGTCCGCGTCCACGTCCGCGTCCACGTCCGCGTCCACGTCCGCGTCCACGTCCACGTCCGTCCACGTCCACGTCCACGTCCACGTCCGCGTCCGTCCACGTCCGCGTCCGTCCACGTCCACGTCCACGTCCACGTCCACGTCCACGTCCACGTCCGCGTCCACGTCCACGTCCACGTCCGCGTCCACGTCCGCGTCCACGTCCGCGTCCACGTCCGCGTCCGCGTCCGTCCACGTCCACGTCCGCGTCCGCGTCCACGTCCACGTCCGCGTCCGCGTCCGCGTCCGCGTCCACATCCGCGTCCGCGTCCACGTCCGCGTCCGCGTCCGCGTCCACGTCCGCGTCCACGTCCGCGTCCACGTCCACGTCCGCGTCCACGTCGTCCACGTCCGCGTCCGCGTCCGCGTCCACGTCCGCGTCCGCGTCCGTCCACGTCCACGTCCACGTCCGCGTCCGTCCACGTCCACGTCCACGTCCACGTCCGCGTCCGCGTCCACGTCCGCGTCCACGTCCGCGTCCGCGTCCACGTCCACGTCCGCGTCCGCGTCCGCGTCCACGTCCGCGTCCGCGTCCGCGTCCGCGTCCACGTCCGCGTCCACGTCCGCGTCCACGTCCACGTCCACGTCCACGTCGACCTCGACGTCCACGTCCACGTCGACCTCGACGTCCGCGTCCACCTCGACGTCCACGTCCACCTCGACGTCCACGTCCACCTCGACGTCCACGTCCACGTCCACGTCCACGTCCACGTCCACGTCACGTCCACGTCCACGTCACGTCCACGTCCACGTCCACGTCCACGTCCACGTCCACGTCCACGTCCAGGTCCACGTCCACGTCACGTCCACGTCCACGTCCACGTCCACGTCCACGTCCACGTCCACGTCCACGTCCACGACCACGTCCACGACCACGTCCACGTCCACGTCCACCTCGACGTCCGCGTCCCCCTCGACGTCCACGTCCACCTCGACGTCCACGTCCACCTCGACGTCCACGTCCACGTCCACGTCCACGTCCACGTCCACGTCCACGTCACGTCCACGTCCACGTCACGTCCACGTCCACGTCCACGTCCACGTCCACGTCCACGTCCACATCCACGTCCACGTCCAGGTCCACGTCCACGTCACGTCCACGTCCACGTCCACGTCCACGTCCACGTCCACGTCCACGTCCACGTCCACGACCACGTCCACGACCACGTCCACGTCCACGTCCACGTCCACGTCCACGTCCACGTCCACGTCCACGTCCACGTCCATCTCCACGTCCACGTCCACGTCCACGTCCACGACCACGACCACGTCCACGTCCACGTCCACGTCCACGTCCACGTCCACGTCCACGTCCACGACCACGTCCACGTCTACGTCCACGACCACGTCCACGTCCACGTCCACGTCCACGTCCACGTCCACGTCCACGTCCACGTCCACGTCCACGTCCACGTCCACGTCCAGGTCCACGTCCAGGTCCATGTCCAGGTCCACGTCCACGTCCACGTCCACGTCTACGTCCACGTCCACGTCCACGTCCACGTCCACGTCACGTCCACGTCCACGTCCATGTCCACGTCCAAGTCCTCCACGTCCACGTCCACGTCCACGTCCATGTCCATGTCCAAGTTCTCCACGTCCACGTCCACCTCCACGTCCACGTCCATGTCCACGTCCATGTCCATGTCCACGTCCACGTCCACCATTTTCTCTACATATTTGCGTTAGTTACCTTTCAAACCCTTACGTTCACTAGATGAATTTATTTCCTTCCTTCTATTTGAGTGAGACCACTAGATTTCGTGTACTATGCGAGATCTGAGCAGTTCCGTTCTCCCAGGCATTTGCACTCTAAGTTCCCATACTGACCGACCTGGCCAATGCACCATTTTCCATATACATACGCATTAGATTCCTTTCGAACCTTATTAGCTCACTAGATTTATATATTTCCCACCTTCTGATCGAGTGAGACCGCTAGATTCCCTTTACTTTTTGAGAAATGAGGGTTTCCGTTCTCCTTGGCCCTACTTGCACTATAAGTGCGAAATGCCGGCCAGACTGGCCGATGCACCATTTTCTCTACACATGTGCGTTAGTTACCTTTCACACCCTTACGTTCACTAGATGAATATATTTCCTACTTTCTATTTGAGTGAGACCACTTGATTCCGTGTACTATGCGAGATCTGAGCGCTTCCGTTCTCCCTGGCATTTGCATTTTAAGTTCCGATACTGACCGACCTGGCCAATGCACCATTTTCTCTATACATGTGCGTTGAATACATTTCAAACCTTTTTAGCTGACTAGATTTATATATTTCCCACCTTCTGATTGAGTGAGACCATTAGATTCCCTCTACTTTTTGAGAAACGAGCGTTTCCGTTCTCCCTGGCCCCACCTGCACTTTGAGTGCGAAATGCCGGCCAGACTCGCCGATGCACCATTTTCTCTACACATGTGCGTTACTTACCTTTAAAACCCTTACGTTCACTAGATGAATATATTTCCTACCTTATATTTGAGTGAGACCACTAGATTCCGTGTATTATGCGAGATCTGAGCGGTTCTGTTCTCCGAGGCATTTGCACTCTAAGTTCCCATACTGACCGACCTGGCCAATGCACCACTTTCCATATACATATGCATTAGATTCCTTCCGAACCTTATGATCTCACTATATTTATATATTTCCCACCTTCTGATCGAGTGAGACCGCTAGATTCCCTTTACTTTTTGAGAAATGAGCGTTTCCGTTCTCCTTGGCCCTACTTGCACTATAAGTGCGAAATGCCGGCCAGACTGGCCGATGCACCATTTTCTCTACACATGTGCGTTAGTTACCTTTCAAACCCTTACGTTCACTAGATGAATTTATTTCCTACCTTCTATTTGAGTGAGACCACTAGATTCTGTGTACTATGCGAGATCTGAGCGCTTCCATTCTCCCTGGCATTTGCACTCTAAGTTCCCATACTGACCGACCTGGCCAATGCACCACTTTCCATATACATATGCATTAGATTCCTTTCAAACCTTATTAGCTCACTAGATTTATATATTTTCCACCTTCTGATCGAGTGAGACCACTAGATTCCCTTTACTTTTTGAGAAATGAGCGTCTCCGTTCTCCTTGGCCCTACTTGCACTATAAGTGGGAAATGCCGGCCAGACTGGCCGATGCACCATTTTCTCTACACATGTGCGTTAGTTACCTTTCAAACCCTTACGTTCACTAGATGAATTTATTTCCTACCTTCTATTTGAGTGAGACCACTAGATACCGTGTACTATGCGAGATCTGAGCGCTTCCATTCTCCCTGGCATTTGCACTCTAAGTTCCCATACTGACCGACCTGGCCAATGCACCATTTTTCATATACATATGCATTAGATTCCTTTCAAACCTTATTAGCTCACTAGATTTATATATTTCCCACCTTCTGATTGAGTGAGACTGCTAGATTCTCTCTACTTTTTGAGAAATGAGCGTTTCCGTTCTCCTTGGCCCTAGTTGCACTATAAGTGCGAAATGCCGGCCAGACTGGCCGATGCACAATTTTCTCTACACATGTGCGTTAGTTACCTTTCAAACCCTTACGTTCACTAGATGAATATATTTCCTACTTTCTATTTGAGTGAGACCACTTGATTCCGTGTACTATGCGAGATCTGAGCGCTTCCGTTCTCCCTGGCATTTGCATTTTAAGTTCCGATACTGACCGACCTGGCCAATGCACCATTTTCTCTATACATGTACAATGAATACAATTCAAACCTTTTGAGCTGACTAGATTTATATATTTCCCACCTTCTGATCGAGTGAGACCGTTAGATTCCCTCTACTTTTTGAGAAACGACCGTTTCCGTTCTCCCTGGCCCCACCTGCACTATGAGTGAAAATGCCGGCCAGACTGGCCGATGCACCATTTTCTCTACACTTGTGCGTAAGTTACCTTTCAAACCCTTACGTTCACTAGATGAATATATTTCCTACCTTATATTTGAGTGAAACCACTAGATTCCATGTATTATGCGAGATTTGAGCGCTTCCGTTCTCCCTGGCATTTGCACTCTAAGTTCCCATACTGACCGACCTGGCCAATGCACCATTTTCCATATACATATGCATTAGATTCCTTTCGAACCTTATTAGCTCACTAGATTTATATATTTCCCACCTTCTGATCGAGTGAGACCGCTAGATTCCCTTTACTTTTTTAGAAATGAGCGTTTCCGTTCTCCTTGGCCCTACTTGCACTATAAGTGGGAAATGCCGGCCAGACTGGCCGATGCACCATTTTCTCTACACATGTGCGTTACTTACCTTTCAAACCCTTACGTTCACTAGATGAATTTATTTCCTACCTTCTATTTGAGTGAGACCACTAGATTCCGTGTACTATGCGAGATCTGAGCGCTTCCATTCTCCCTGGCATTTGCACTCTAAGTTCCCATACTGACCGACCTGGCCAATGCACCATTTTCCAAATACATATGCATTAGATTCCTTTCGAACCTTATTAGCTCACTAGATTTGTATATTTCCCACCTTCTGATCGAGTGAGACCGCTAGATTCCCTTTCCTTTTTGAGAAATGAGCGTTTCCGTTCTCCTTGGCCCTAGTTGCACTATTAGTGCGAAATGCCGGCCAGACTGGCCGATGCACCATTTTCTCTACACATGTGCGTTAGTTACCTTTCAAACCCTTACGTTCACTAGATGAATTTATTTCCTACCTTCTATTTGAGTGAGACCACTAGATTCCGGGTACTATGCGAGATCTGAGCGGTTCCATTCTCCCTGGCATTTGCACTCTAAGTTCCCATACTGACCGACCTGGCCAATGCACCATTTTCCATATACATATGCATTAGATTACTTCCGAACCTTATTAGCTCACTAGGTTTATATATTTCCTACCTTCTGATCGAGTGAGACCGCTAAATTCCCTTTACTTTTTGAGAAATAAGCGTTTCCGTTCTCCTTGGCCCTACTTGCACTATAAGTGCGAAATGCCGGCCAGACTGGCCGATGCACCATTTTCTCTACACATGTGCGTTGGTTACCTTTCAAACCCTTACGTTCACTAGATGAATTTATTTCCTACCTTCTATTTGAGTGAGACCACTAGATTCTGTGTACTATGCGAGATCTGAGCGCTTCCGTTCTCCCTGGCATTTGCACTCTAAGTTCCCATACTGACCGACCTGGCCAATGCACCATTTTCCATATACATATGCATTAGATTCCTTTCGAACCTTATTAGCTCACTAGATTTATATACTTCCCACCTTCAGATCGAGTGAAACCGCTAGATTCCCTTTACGCTTTGAGAAATGAGCGTTTCCGTTCTCCTTGGCCCTACTTGCACTATAAGTGCGAAATGCCGGCCAGACTGGCCGATGCACCATTTTCTCTACACATGTGCGTTAGTTACCTTTCAAACCCTTACGTTCACTAGATGAATTTATTTCCTACCTTCTATTTGAGTGAGACCACTAGATTCCGTGTACTATGCGAGATCTGAGCGCTTTCGTTCTCCCTGGCATTTGCACTCTAAGTGTCAGATTATCATAGCTGATGCATGTTTGTAGGCTATAGTGGGGTAGCACATATGGGGTACAGTTTTCTAGGGTTGTATTTGTACCCAACTCTGACTTAGTCATTTTCATTCCTGTTCTCTTCTCTCACATGGTATAGAGCGAGTCCTTCCTAAGGACCGTTTTTTTTAGGGCCCACCGAAGCGCGCCCCGAGGCGCGCATTTTTTTTTTCGCGACCTTTCGGGTCACCATTGCTCTCGCGGCCCCGCTGTCCCTCTGACGCGGCCCCGCCACCCCTGCTTGATGCGGCCCCGCCGCCTCCTCTGCAACGGCCCCGCCGCCTCCTCTGACGCGGCCCCGCCGCCCGCTAATCGCGGCCCCGCCACCGGCTCTGACGCGGCCCCGCCGCCGGCTCTGACGCGGCCCCGCCGCCCGCTGATCGCGGCCCGCCGCCGGCCCTGACGCGTCCCCGCCTTTGGCTCTGACGCGGCCCCACCGCCGGCTCTTAGCCGGCCTCGCCGCCGGCTCCAACGCGGCCCCGCCGCCCGCCTCGACGAGGCCCCGCCGCCGGCTCTGACGCGGCCCCGCCGCCGCCTCCTGATCGCGGCCCCGCCCCGGCTCTCTCGCGGCCTCGCCGCCGGCCCTGACGCGGCCCCGCCGCCGGTTCTCTTGCGGCCCCGCCACCGGCTCTCTTGCGGCCCCGCCCCGGCTCTCTTACGGCCCCTGCCGCCAGCCCTAACGCGGCCCCTGCCTCGGCTCTCTTGCGGCTCTGCCGCCAGCTCTGAAGCGGCCCCGCCCCGGCTCTCACGCGGCCCCTGCCCCGGCTCTCAAGCAGCCCCGCCGCCGGCCCTCACGCGGCCCTGCCGCCGGCTCTGACGCGGCCCCGCCCCGGTTCTTTCACGCGGCCCTGCCGCCCCACCAGCAGCAGTCGGGCAGCCGTGCAGCCGAGCCGCCCGGGAGCCGAGCCGCCCTACGCTCGAGCCGCCCTGTCGCCGAGCCGCCCGGGAGCCGAGCCGCCCTGCCCCCGAGCCGCCCTGCCGCCGAGCCGCCCGGGAGCCGAGCCGCCCTGCACCCGAGCCGCCCTGCCGCCGAGCCGCCCGGGAGCCGAGCCGGTGTGCACCCGAGCCGCCCGGTCGCCGAGCCGCCTTTCTGCTGAGCTGCACGACCTGCCCTGCCTGGTGAGCACAGTCCCACTGTCACTGCGAGCTCTTTCCCTACTGCTTGCACTGCGTCGCTGTCGTCGCCATGGCTACCCCTAGTGTCCTAGCTTTTGACGCTGAGGGTCGCGCCATTGATTTTGAGGTCTGGTTAGACGACCTGCAGCTGTTCTTACAGTGCGACAGGGCTGACGGCCTTTCTCTCT